CGCCTGCGCACGGCCCCGCTTCCGCCTTCCACTCCGCCCACCCAGGAGCAACCGTCGCAAGGGAGCCGCCACTTCCGCGCGCGCAGGCGCAGTGGCGTATCGGGCGCGTGCGCAGCGCTGCTCCTTCCCGGCTCTTCTGCTGCTCACGCTCCTACTCCTGTTCCCCGCCCCCAGCCCCCTGTGGCCCGATACCAACGTGTGGTCCGGAGCCGTCCGTGCCTCGTGCTCCCGGGACAGCCGCGGTGTGCGTTGCGGCGCGTGGCGCTAGCCATGGCGATGGATCAAGTGAACGCGTTGTGCGAGCAGCTGGTGAAAGCGGTGACGGTCATGATGGACCCCAGCTCCACCCAGCGCTACCGGCTGGAAGCCCTCAAGGTAGCTGGGGTCCTGGCGCGCTGGACCCGACCGAAACCCTCCCCCAAGCCTGGCCCCCCGGCGCCGCCCCTAACTCGCGTGGTCTCCCGCACACGCGGCCCCTGACCCTTCCTGCCCAATCCCCGGGGGCCTTTCCCTCGCGGCCCTCGGCTCTTCCAACCCCCGCCTACTCTGCTGCCGCGCCTGCCCTTCGCCTGGGACGTTCCGGTCCCAATCCGCCACTCTTCCCACCGCTACTTCCCATTGCCCTCTCCTCCCTCTTTTCCCACTTTTGTTCACTCTTGTCCCCACCCCGACCCCTTTACAGCTGACTGCGCCCATTTTCATCCCCCAAATGCCACGTTCCGGCCCCTTTTCGTGGTGCACGTGTAGAACCCGGCCCCACTCCCAGTTTCGTTCTTTATGGTCTCCCCGGCCCTAGACGTTTCCCTGCTGACCCACTGTTTTTGACCCAACCGCGCCGCCCCCGCCTCCCAGTGCCCCTTTACTTAGATCTATACACCTCCCAACCCTCGGCTATGTGTTTGGCATTTGTGAGTTATCACACACCACTTTCTCCCATGTGTTTTAGTGTGTGATATTCTTAGGCTGTTTTGCACAAAGATGAACTTCTGCCACTTACTTTGCATTTTAATGAGGGCACTTTGGTTTCTTGAAAGTAGTTTTCTAGAGTTCTGGATACTTCGCTCCTAGGACTGACGCTTCACTATTTGGAAATGCTAATACAAAACGAGATCATTCTCCCGTCAAATACAATATGTGGGCTATAAGAAATGGCCATTTAGGAGAAAATACTTGAATTGCACTTTTTTATGTATATATATAAAGATTTTTTTTGCAAGAGAGTGCATGTGCTCCCCAGGGAGGGAGAGAGACAGAGACAAAGAGAGGGAAAGGGAGAAATCACCCTCCAGTGGGGAAGGCCATAACTGCAATCCCTTCTCCATTCTCTGGGCATTCATGCAAACGCACCAGGGGGGATGTTCAAGCCCCTGGGTCCAGGACTCAAACCTAGTGGGACCTGTGGGAGTTCAGTGCCTTACCCACCATGCCAAAAAAGGTGTTGCTTCACAAAGTAGCACAAAAGCCACTTGAAGGAACTCTTACATTATGTATTCTGTATCTCAAGGTTTGGAATCAGAAACATTTGGATTCTATGACTTTATTATGAAATATTTAATTTGTCGGAAGGCATGTGCACACTCTAGAGACACACAGGGAGAGAAACAAAGCCCTCCCTCCCCGTAGGCAGCAGTTTTTTCTCCATTCTGTCAGAATTTTAAGGCATACTCACACTCACACCCAGGTTGAGATTCTAAACTACACTGTTAGCCTTGTTAGGTCCACCTCCCATAAGCACCAGACCACGAAGTCAGGCCCTATTTTGAAGTATTTTAAATAGACAAATAAACAACATTACAATGATTTTCTTACCTAATTTTAGGAGTTAAGAAAATTTGGGAACATTTGCTTTATTCGTCCTGCTGTGCCAAGATTTTTAAAACACATTCTAGAAATTGTCATTTTAGCCCTATGTATTTCTTTTTGATTAAAGAAATTTTAATTTAATTTTATTTATTACTATGATTTATATTTTTAATTTGATCAGTGAAAGAGGGAAAATGAGAAAGGAAGCCACTAAGTCTGCGAGAGCCACATGGAGTCCAGTACCCTAACCGCCATACCACCTGCCGGCCCCAGCCCTATATATTTCAAGGGTACAGTTCTAACAGCTTTTTTACCCCATTAGGTCCAGTATTTTCTTTCAACATTAGTGTGGCTACTGTTGGCTATAGCACAGAAATCTAGAACTATGAAAGTGGAAAGAATGTTTATTGGTTCATTATTCACAAAGTATTGACCTAGGTTTTGCTCGTTAAATATAGCTCAGGTTGAATCTTCTTAAGATGTTTTTTGTTGTTGTTTTGGTTCCCATCTCCTCTTAGTTTTCAGAAGAAGCACTAACTTTTCTTCTTTCAGTTTTGTGAAGAGTTTAAAGAAAAGTGCCCCATCTGTGTCCCCTGTGGCTTGAGATTGGCTGAGAAAACACAAATTGCCATCGTCAGACACTTTGGCCTTCAGATCCTGGAACATGTTGTCAAGTAAGGAGCTCTTGGATATTACCATTTAATTTTATTTATTTATTTATTTATTTACTTATTTAAATTTGACCAGAGTGGGATAGAGTCAGATAGAGAGAGAGAGACAGAAAGTGAGAAAGCAAGCCACCAGGTCCAGGACCCAGATCATAGTCGGCCATGTGGGAGTCCGGCACCCTTAACCACCGTGCCACCTGCTGGCCCCAGAACAAGTCTTCATTTCTTACGTAACCTGTAGAGATGCTTTTAAGGTGACTAGGACAGAACAGTCATCAAGACAAAAGGAATGTACTCCCCAAGACGTTACCAGTCTCATGGGAATGCTCAGTCGGCATTTCACCTTTCTCTTCAGATTCTTCATCTACGTAGAATTTGTGGTATATATTAAGTATTCCACAAATATGTGCTGATAACTGTCAGTCATTTGGCCAGCATTTATTGAATTCCTTCCATACGCCAACAGACCACAATGCCTTTTTAGAATAATGCAATAAATAGAAAAATTCCTGATGAGACACTTTTCTTTTCTTTTCTTTTCTTTTCTTTGAGTGTATGCCTCTGAATGGCATTTCCTAAGCAGGATTATATGAGAATAGCTGAAAATCTCTCCTAATATGAATCTCCTATGCTAAACACCTCTCAGAATAATTAGCTTTTAAAATTTAGCCACAGTCTTTCTGGAATTGCACTATTACTTTGTAAGTCATCACAAAGAAAGACTTAGTAGTATCATGATTGTATTTTCCAAAAGGCAACTACATTGTTGCATCGGTCCAGGAGGTATATTTACTTTTGGCCTAGCAATAAAATCATGGGGGAAGAACTGATCTGTGTCACAAATCCTGTGTGAATTCCGGTTAACGGAACAAGTAATCTGGTATTAGTATCTTGGTTACGTGTGAACCGTTTTGTCTGTTTTCCAAAGGCTACAAAATCGGAAGTGTAATTTCTTAATGAAATCTTTAGCATCATCTAATGCAGGAATCAAAGCTATTTTGTGAAGAGCTAACACAGTTCTATTTACTTGATGCATTTTGGTGACCAGGTTCCGATGGAACAGCATGTCTCGACTGGAGAAAGTCTACCTGAAGAACAGCGTCATGGAGCTGATTGCAAATGTAAGAAATGGGTAACTGGAAGACTTGTGTTTCCAAGGTTGTTTAAACAAAGGTGTGACTTTTCAATCTAGTATTGATAAAAATCCACTGATTCTACATAGGTCAGACAGCATGCTTTGTATAACACTGTTACCTTCAAGGTAAAGAGAACCGCCAGTGTAAGAAATCATAGTTCATCGGGAACCAGCAGTTAGCGTAATGGCTATGTTGCTGGACTCCCACGTAGTCGACCGCGGTTCGCGTCCCGGACCCGGTGGCTTAAAACTCACTCCGGGTGCGTGTGCGTGTGCGCCCAAGATCCCAAGAGGAGAATGGAGGAGAAGGGATTGCGGCGTGGCCATCCCCTCTGGGGGGTGATTTCTCGCTTTCTGTCTCTCTGTCTCTCTCTGTCTGTCTGGCGAGCGCACGCGCCCTATAGTGAAAAACCTCTCAAAAAAAAAAGAAAAAAAAGAAATCATAGTTCATCACATTTTCCTTACTGTGCTTAATTAATCATCCTATCTGTTAAATTCTTTTAATTGGGTTGTCAGAAAAGTCACGACATATTATTTTTTGTTTTTCTATGTGAAAATGTGTCATGATTTTTCTCAGTGACCCAATAATTTGCTATAAGTCACATGTGCTCACTGGAAAAGAAACAGATGGAGTGAAAAAGCACCCTCTGGGGTAGATGACCATGCCACAGTCCCTTCTCATTCTCTCAGGATTTTGGGCACACTCCCACACATGCCTGGCATGTTTTTCAAGCCACTGGTGGTCCAGGACTTGAACTATGCAATCAACTATGTCAGATCCAGCCAGCTTAACCACCACTCTACTGACTGGTTCACTTGACTTCCTTCCTTCCTTCCTTCCTTTCTTTTTTTCTTTTTTTTTTTTTTTTTTTTGCTATAGGACATGTGTGCTCACTGGAGAGACAGGGAAACAGAAAGTAAGAAATCACCCCCACCCCCAGCCCCCGCCCCAGGGAGGATGGCCATGCCACAGTCCCTTCTCTTTCATTCTCCTCTTGCAGGCTTAGTAGGCATGTTCACACTTGTGCTCAGCATGAGTTACAAGTCACCCAGTCTGGTACTCCAATCACAGTTAACTATGGGTGTCCAGGGATGTAACCACTACGCCATCTGCTGGTCCCAATTTACTTCTATTTTTACAACACTAAACACAGAGTGGAGATTAAATATTTTCTCCAGTGAATGATTAAGATTCTTAGATCTAGGAGCCGGTGGGTATTGTAGTAGTTAAAGTGCTGGACTCCCATGTGGCTGACTGTGGTTTAAGTCCCAGACCCAGCAGCTTGAAAATCATGCTGGGTGCATCTGCCCAAAATCCCAAGAGAATAAAGGAGAAGGGATTGCTGCGTGC